CCTACCAAGTGACCAAGGTATTCCAACTCGCGTTTGTAGAAGTGACACTTCTACAACCGAGCATAGAATTTGTGCTCTCGTAATTTTCCTAACACCCATTTCAGGTGTTGCGTGTGTTCTTCTTCTGTTTTCGAGTAAACGAGGATATCATCCAAGTATACAAGGACAAATTGGCCAATTGCCTCCAGAAACACATCATTCATCGCTCGTTGAAATGATGCAGGGGCATTTGTCAAGCCAAAACTTAACACACGCCATTGAAAATGCCCAAACGGCGTTCGTAAAGCCGTTTTAGGAACATCTTCATCGGTGATGCGCAGCTGATGGTACCCCTGAGCTAAGTCCAGTGCACCAAACCACTGAGCTCCTTGGAGCCGATCGAGCAAATCCTCAATCCGAGGTAGAGGGTATATGTTCTTCACCGTAATCTTTTTCAAGGCACGATAATCTACGCACATGCGTAATCCTCCGCCCTTCTTGTTAACGAACAAAATCGGTGCTCCATAAGGGGATGCACTGGGTTCGATCCACCCTTTTCTGAGGTATTCCTCGATCTGTTGTTTATCCTCCTCGTACTCAACTGGACTGAGGCGATACAGAGGTCGAAAGGGTGGAACCTTTCCTGGTTCAACAGGGATGGTGTGACCCACTGCGCGGTCAGGTGGAAGTTCATCAGGAATGGCTTCAAACACTTCCTTGAATTCCTCTGCCAGTATTTGCATATGAGGAGGGAAATCCTCAATTACTGGTTCCGAGGTCTCGGCATTTTCAAGCTGTACCACGAATAGTGTATCAGCCAATTAAACAAAATGCCCGAACTGGTTGGCCAACACATACAGCGCGCTGGGACATTCAGGCGTCTGTGTTTCAGTGAGCAAGTATCATTGACTTGCCACTGGATTGCCTTTCCGTTCTTGTTGAACGGGACAATGTTGTGTTGAAAGTCCAATTTGACTTCGTTGGCTCGCAACAATCCATGCCAAGGATGAGGTCGACACTTGACAAAAGTGGCAGGACATACACGCGAACTGTTTTGCTGTAGTCCTGTACATTCATGTCGATATGTGTCCGTCCTTTACTTGGAATGACACGATCGTCACCCAAACGAATGGGACAAGACGGTCCTACAACGAGGACGTTGTGTGCCGTAACCCAAGTTTCATCAACAAGGGAAACCGACGCGCCCGTATCGACGAGAATCCTCGCTTTGTCCCCATTCATGCGTCCGGACAACAGTAAATTCTGTTGGAACCTTGGACGGATGGGACATGCGACAACAAGTTTAGGAGGTCGATAGTACACCCTAAATTTGTTGTGAGCGCGTCCAATCGTTTGGGATTTGGTCCACCAGACGTGGTGCCCTTTGTCCCATGTTGCCAGGATATGCCATTCGTGAAATCGGCGGAATAACTCTCCTTTCACGATTCGAGTCACTAATCCCACTGATGTGAGCGGGTGCTCTTGGACACAACGGTCCACAATATCCATGATAGGTGGCAACTCTTTGAACGAGCAAGAGATGATTGTAAATTTATCTCTCAAGGATTCAATTGAAATGTTTTTCAGTGGGTATGATCGAGTTTTAAAAACAGATTTTTCATTAATAGAAGAGGCATACAAACAAGCGATTTTGCATGATGCAAGCTTCTCTGGCTTGAGCAAATCCTCATCACAAAGGACATAAACCAACTACGTCTCGGAGGACTCGGCGAAGATTCGATACGCCGTGTCGCTGCTGCGAGGACCCGCCATGGACTGGTGGCGCGTCATCGTCACAAAGCCAGTGGACTAAGAGACTCTACCGACACGGGAAGGACAAACCGGACCCTGGGCGCCATCGTATTTCGTCGAAGTACCCCAGTATCGCACGTGGGACGCGTGGTGCGCGGGTCTGCGCGCACGATTCGAACTAATCGCGGCTTCGATCGCGGCGCGATAGAGGCTCCATACTTGGCGCCACCTCGGTTCCGTCCAAGACTACACTAGCGGGTTTTTGGCGTTGTGCAAGCAGGTGGGCTACATGCATGAGGGAGAACGTATTGACCGCTACATCGGCGACCTGAAACACAAAATCGCCCAAGAAATCCAGCTTCGCAACGTCACCGAATTTCACGACATCCTCGCTATGGCGGAGAAGCTTGACTTCTTACGCCGACCGAGACCGGGGTCCTACGGCAACAAAAGAAACTGTGGACATCGGTCTTGTTGGACGAACGAGCACGCCACGACACGCGCCGTCGTCGCGAATGCCGCTGCCGCACCGTTCAAAGGACGCTGCTTTGCGTGCAACAGGCCGGGGCACCGTAAGAGCGAATGCTCGGAAACGCTAAGGGAAAGGGGGAAGCTGAGCAGAAGAAACAGACCAAGCAGCAGGGAAACGCTGGGAGTCAGTAGCAGACGGGCCCTCTACTGTCAGGTCACGCCGCTCGCCCGACCCAACCGACCCTCACCGAGTGATTGTGACGGTTCACGCAATCGACCACACCCGGCCGAATAAGGAGGGTACGACGGTAGACAGCCCCATACTGCTTAGCGGGAAAATACAGACAGACTTAGTTAAAATCTTCGTAGACTGGGGGGCTAGCCACAGCCTGATCAACACCGCCACAGCACGGAGACTGAAACTGCCACTGGAGAGATGTTTACCTGAGATTGACGCACGACTGGTCGATGGCACGCCACTGGCGATACGGGAACGAGTGGACCGAGTTTGGATCCGATGCAGGGGTATCTTCACATTTACCCATGAAATGCTCGCAACGACCATCGACGGGACCGACATTTTACTCGGCCGCGACGACACAATCCGCGAATCGGCTGGACGACGGGTGACTGCACCGTGCGAGTGAACGGTAACAACATCGCCCTATCTCGCTGGAGCTTGCCGGAGTTTTCGTCGGTGCGTGTCAACGCAATCAGGATGAAAGGCGCCGTAGCGGCAGGAGCTGTCGTGTATGCGGTTGACATTCGGGAAGCCGAGGCAACAGACAAACCGAGCAATTTACAGAAACTGCTCGCCGACGTACCGGATGACTTGGCAGCGCTACTGAAGCAGTACAGCGGGATTTATCCAGATGACCTACTGGAGGGACTCCCACCTCAGCGACCGCATGGCCACAAAATAGAACTAGAACCGGGGGCACAGCCGACAGTACAGCGACAGTTCCGACTAACCCAACCCGAACTGGACGAACTACGGAAGCAGCTGGATTACCTACTCGAGAAAAAGGTTCATTCGCCCGAGTTCTTCGCCGTTCGCCGCACCGATACTGTTCACACCGGAAAAAGACGGGGGATTTTGCATGTGCATAGATTACCGCGCACTGAACCGAGTTACCATCAAGTCCCGTTACCCCATCCCGCGAGCCGTCGAACTGTTCGACCAACTTCGCACAGCCCGAGTTTTCTCGAAAATTGACCTTCGAGGAGGTTACTATCAGATCCGCGTGAATCCGCCCGACTGCCCGAACCCACTACGGATCGTTCGAATACACGGTAATGCCCTTTGGACTGACCAACGCCCCCGCGACCTTCCAAATGAACATGAACGAAGCCTTCCGCCCGCTTTTAGATAAGTGCGTGATCGTCTACTTAGACGACATATGGATTTACAGCCCAAACAGAGCACAGCACCTACAGGACATCAAAACAGTTTGTAAAATACTGAGTGAGAACCGCCTACTGACCAAAGCCTCTAAGTGTGAGTTTTTATATGACAGACTGTAGTTTTTAGGGCACGTTATTTCAGCCAACGGAGTGGAAATCGACCCGAAAAAGATCGCGACGATTCAAGCATGGTACGCGCCGACCAACTTGACCTAGTTGCAGAGATTCTGGGGTTCGTCAACTACGTGCGACGGTTCGTCCCCGACATGGTGCAGTTGACTGCCCTGTTGACCAACCTGCTGAGGAAGGGGGTTGAGTACACGTGGGGGGAGAAAGAGCAAGCTGCCTTCTCGGCCCTCAAAAATTTTTTGTGCTCACCTCTCGTGCTTCACATCGCAGATCCCCACCGTCCGTTCGAGCTCATCACCGACGCAAGCGACATCGCTGTGTGAGCAGTACTGCTGCAGGACTTCGGGAACAACCTCCAGCCCGAGCGCAACTACCCGATACACGACCGCGAGATGCTGGCGATCGTGCACGCGTTCAGCGTATGGTGGTGCTACCTGACAGGAGCCGATGTGACAGTACGGACAGATCATCGTGCACTACATTACAACACAGTTGGCTCAGGAGGCCACTTAAGCAAGGCGAAGCTGATCACGCTGCTGCAACTCTCGAGCAAGAAAGTAACGAAGAGCAATGTGCTTCGTTCTCTGCTCCAGTCTCTACTCTCGACACAAGGCAATTATGGCCTTGTTGTCGACGTACAGAACCGGAGGAGAACGAGGCCGCTCAACCAAGTCGGTCAGCAGGTAGGTCAGCCAGCATAACTCCTAAGCAGCCATGGCCCCAGCATAGATCTCGGCCTCACAGCTGGAACTAAGCACAGAAGACGAGCGGGTGGACCTCCAGGAGACAGAACCAGCTCCGAGACTGAAAGTGTAACCCTGGGACGACCGCTGGGTCTCCTATTCATCGGCCCAAGAAGCGTCATAGTGACCACAATGCCCAGGAATGGCAATTCGTGTAAGAGGCACCTAAGAAAAGTAAGAAATGTTGTCTTGTCACCACCTCAATTGAAATTGGGCTCTCGAATGTATATCTGACACCCTGCCTGCAGCCCACCCCCACTCTCCCCCCCTCATACCCACCTCTTGTTTCCACTCTCTATTTTATATCCTGTCCCTTCCGCTCTCTACATTGTGTAAACCAAGAACCCCTCATCTTACGACCCGTGCTCCCTTCCTTCTTCCCTGCCCTCCTACCCTCCCCTCCTTTTGCTCTCTTTTGGTGCTAAGCTGACAGGACCAGTCAACCCTTCAATGGGTGCGTACATTCGAGGTTGCTTCTAAGAGTGATGCTCTAGATGGGTAGGTACGGTACGAGTCAATGCGTTAATAGGTGCGTATGGTGTTGCTTTCGAGAGTCAATGCGAGTGCCGTATGGTCCTTCCATCCCAGCACCATCGTGCCACTCTCCTCAGCTACGTCCGCCGTCCGCTCCCCCGCCGCCTCGCACCTCTCCGCCTTCCTTCCCTCCTCGGAGTCCCTCTCCGCCTTCTTTCCCTCCCTCGAGTCCCTCTCCGCCTTCTTTCCCTCCCCCGAGTCCCTCTCCGCCTTCTTTCCCTCCCCCGAGTCCCTCTTCGCCTTCTTTCCCTCCCCCGAGTCCCTCTCGATCCCTCCCCCGAGTCCCTCACCGCCCTCTTTCCCTCCCCTGAGTCCCTCTCCACCTTCTTTCCCTCCCCGGAGTCCCTCTCCGCCTTCTTTCCCTCCCCCGAGTCCCTCTCCGCCTCCTTTCCCTCCCCCGAGTCCCTCTCCACCTTCTTTCCCTCCCCCGAGTCCCTCTCCACCTTCTTTCCCTCCTCCGAGCCCCTCTCCGCCTTCCATCTCTCCTCCGGGCTGTCAGCAGACTCGTCCGAGATGAACCCAATCACATCCTCATCCGCCTCGCACTCCCCTCCGGCACCTTCCATCCCGGCACCATCGCCCGTGCCACTCTCCTTACCTACGTTCGTCGTCCGCTCCCCCGCCTCCTCGCACCTCTCCGCCTTCCTTCCCTCCTCGGAGTCCCTCTCTGCCTTCTTTCCCTCCTCGGAGTCCCTCTCCGCCGTCTTTCCCTCCTCGGAGTCCCTCTCCACCTTCTTTCCCTCCCCCGAGTCCCTCTCCGCCTTCTTTCCCTCCCCCGAGTCCCTCTCCGCCTTCTTTCCCTCCCCCCAGTCCCTCTCCGCCTTCTTTCCCTCCCCCGAGTCCCTCTTCGCCTTCTTTCCCTCCCCCGAGTCCCTCTCCGCCTTCTTTCCCTCCCCCGAGTCCCTCTCCGCCTTCTTTCCCTCCTCGGAGTCCCTCTCCGCCTTCCGTCCCTCCTCCGGGCTGTCCGCGAACTCGTCCGATATGAACTCAATCACATCCTCATCCGCCTCGTACTCCCCTCCGGCACCTTCCATCCCGACACCATCGCCCGTGCCGCTCTCCTTACCTACGTCCGCCGCCCGCTCCCCTGCCGGCCTCCCCATGTCCCCTGGGCTTCGACCGGCTGCCGCTGCGTCCCTCGACGGCCCGCAAGTCCCGTCGACACATGCCCCTCCGAGTACGGTTTGTGCCTCCGGATTGTGTGCGGCGTGCTGGCGGCCGGCGAGCCCTGGTGCTCCGCGATTGCCACGCCCCGACGCAGCCACCATGGACTGGAGTAGTTGCGAAAGGTCTTCAGGGTCTAGGGCAGCGGCCCGACTTGCCATGAAGATGTTTAACAGCGTCGCGCTCTCTCTCTCACTCCATCTCTTGTATGCGTCGGACGTGGATAGCACACTCGCGGCCGTGCTCTCGCACACGGCTTTGATGTCAGCCAATTCCCGCCGCATCTCCAGTTGAGCGGCCTCCGACCTTCTTTGTTCCGCACTACGACCTTGTTCCGCCCCGTCAAGCTTGGTGCGTACTTCAGTGGCTACCGCGTCAACCCTCTTGCACACCATCTCAGACAGGTCAACCACCCTCTGCACCATCCACTCGATGGCATCGGCCGCCTTTTCAGCGTCCCGCTTCGCCGCCCCCTCGACCGCTTTCGTAACCACGTCTAGGATCCACGTTCTTTGTTCTTGCAGCATCTCACGGACGTCCTGACGCACTTCCTCGCGTAGTGCCTGCAAGGGTGCTGCAGCTATCCGTTTGCGCTTGTGTCCCGAGTGTCGCACGGAGTCTAGCAGCGCCCGTATCCACCTCCCCTTTGCCTCTGCGGATGCTAGCGGTGGCCGCGTCCTTATCATTTTTGCCTTTGCGGAGACTACCAACGCCCCTCCTCTGCCCTCGCCCTTATCCGCCCTCCCTGCGTCCCCTGCGCGCTTGTCGGCGATCGATCGGAGGGCCTCTGTGTTGCGGCAGGAGCCTCACCAATCTGTTGCTCCATCCAATGCATCCGTGGCCCGTCGCTTCCTGGGCGGTAGCTCCGCGCCTCCACGCCCCACCCCCTCCACCTCCGCGCCTCCACGCCCCACCCCCTCCACCTCCGCGCCTCCACGCCCCACCCCCTCCACCTCCGCGCCTCCACGCTCCATGCCCTGCATTTAAGGCCCTACGTTTATTATGGACAAGCGCGGAATTTTCGCCTTCTGCGTGCGACATATAGTAGGCGCTGATGAAGCAACTACGATAATGGTGGTAGCTCTCGGTGTTTCGAATGCTTGTTGCCCGTTTTTGCCAATCCAGGAACCACATGATGCGGACGACATATATGTGCTGACCCATGCCGCCTTGCCTTGGCCCCATGTCGCTTGGACTGCCAAGCTGTGTTACGGCGAATGCGACGGATTATGCGCGCCTTGCTCTTGCCGGAAAGGAGAAAGACGGTGCGATCAAAGGGGAAGAGGAGGGGGGGGGGGGGGGGGGGGGGAGAGGGGGGATGATGGTAAAGGCGGGCACAGACGTTGAACAACGCATCTTGCTCTTGCCCGAGAAGAAAACGAGTAACGGTAGGATTTAGGGGGAGAGATGATAGAGGCGGGCACAGACGCACACAAGCACCCCAGCCACTAAGCCACCCACACACGCACCTCTAGCCTCGCCTGCTCCGTACCTCTCCACTCACAACCTTCCTTCTCCCTCTCGCGCCTCGCCAAGCCGCGGGCAGTGAGCTCGTCGTATGCCATGCCCCTCCACTTCACCAACCTGATAATGATCACACGGGAAAGAACGAGCCGTCGACCGCTGCTCCTCCCACGCCGCCTCTCGTCAGCGGCGCAGCCGCAGACGTTCCGTCCGCGCGCCCACTGGCGCTCAGCGCCGGCCTCTCGTGTTCTTTGTCCCAGGAGGACGAAGCCTCCTGGCTGTCGCATTCGTCCACCAGGCGTGCGACCGACGCGAGATAGGATCGTCGGGTCGCCACCAACAAACCAGTCACGGCCAGTGGCCGCATGAACGCGACATTGCCTTCCATGTGCCGCAGCAGCTCTCGCCTCTGTAGGTGAGACGCCTCTTGATCTCCGCGACCGTCGAGGCACGCACGCCATCTCCGAAGTTGCTGGCGTCCAACGTCGCCCTCGCCGCCTCGACGGATGCGCGCAGCCATCTGCCAGAGGACATGGCACAACGCGAGAGGCACGGCGTTATGCGGCCACACGCGTGGAGCATGGGGGCAACGCGGAACGCCGCACAAACGTACTTGTACACCTTAGCGGCCTTCTTCGAGTTCTTGCTGCTCGGCGCGATGTGGATGAGGCGCGTGGGGATGTTCTCTCGCTCCGGGCACGTGAGGATGTCGTCCGGGTACATCATCACGAGCACGCTGCAGTGTGCTTCTCCTCCCGTTCCCGCGGACCTGCCATGCCCACGAGGCTCGGGTTAAGTTTTGGCTGCGGCGGACCTTGAGCACACGGGCGCTGCGCGCGCAGGCAACTTACGAGGACCGGATCGGGACGGCGACGGCGTCGCAAGCTGCAGTTCCCTCCAGCGGACCACCTGTATCACCCATCCCCCAATCCTCTCTGGCCCGCGCGCACTGCACGACGGAAACATCCCGTCGGCCGACGTGCTGACGTACTGCGAATCTGCGAAGAGCAACGGGGCGACGGTTAGTAGTGGCGTGAGGGCACAGGCGTGAGGGCGGGCGGGACGCGTCGTGGGCGACGGAGCTCACTGCAAGGCCAGGTCGAACACGACGGCGCTAAACTCCGACGTCCCATCTCCGTGCATGAGCCGCCGATCCTCCTCCGACACACAGAACCGCGCATGCCCCACCACCACATCGACCTCGTCTCTCCTCTCTGCCACCCCACCTTCCATGGCTCTCCGCGGGTCTTCTTCTTGGAGCGATGATGCTTGGAGCGGTGATGCTTAGGGCGATGATGCTCGCTCTGGCGATGTATGCTGCCCCAAACCATCTCGAATTAGCGTTATCTTGTCCCTCACGAACGCTAGCGTTGCGTTGGCCCAGAAACACATGACCAACCCGACGAGCAGTCTCAATTTGAACCACAGGAGCGTATGCGTGTTCGTTTGGTGGATATGCGTTGGTACGTAAGCTTATGAACACACCGCGAGAAAACTCAAAACGCGTTCGAACTTCTCGTCATGCTTGAAGCCCGAAAGTTTGGCGCTAGCCCAAGAACGCGCCCTTAGCACACGTGATATTTGATATTTTCTTCGACCAAATCTGGTCATAATTGTTTGGTTTTCCTAGTATTGCGGGTTGTCCCTGAACACGTTTGTTTTATGATTCGTAAATGTTTCAGCGTTCATATTCGACTTAAAGAGAGCCGGAGTTTTACGACATCCATAGATTTTATTTCTTGGCGTTTCCCCATAAAGAAAACATTGTTTTTTTGCGTTCCCGTGCGCCAGTTTTTCGGCGTGAAACTAGCGAAAACCAGATGTACAGAGCCCACGCACAGCAATGTGTCGGTGAACGCCGAAAGATTCCGTGAAGTTGTAAAAAACACAGTTGTTGCTCCGACCTCAATATAAACATGTTCGGTACACATGCTTGTGCACTGTACACATTTTACAGTTCAAGAAAATAGAATCGTCGAACAACCCGTAAAAGAAAAAACCCAACCTTCGTTCGCCGGATCGCGCAGGGGGATGCGGTGCGTGACATTCGATAATGTGAGGGAGCATTCTTTCTCGTGTCAGACGTCAGGTCACACACAATTTGGAGGTTCGGAAGGTCCAAACGGGTTCGGCCTTCATTGAAAACGAGGCTTTGAATTGAAGACTAAGGGACGATGACATGACGTCGGACACGCGATACGAATGCGCCCTGAGATTGGCCAATGGAGACTTTCAGCAAACCAACTATTTCGCGCGTTGGTCACAGCGAATCGTCAGAGAGCAACAAATGAGTAGACGCGCTGTACGTTTGCCCATCGCCCGAAGTCGTTTCTGCTGGTGCTGAAGCAAAGCACCAAGGAGAATTTCGAAGAGCCATGCCAAGCACAAACAGAGTCGCTGGCGTTCAGCATTCATTTTCCTGTATTAGTTTCATCCTTTCCTGAAAAGCACAGAACCTGATTGTATTCGTTATCTCGGCACGTACGCGGCGTGCGTTCCAAGCTGCGAGGGAAGAAAGCATTCGCGTGCAAACACTCCACTCCACTCGTTGTATGTACGTCCTGCTCCCGACCCTGTTGATGACCGTTGATAAGACTGTTCCGCGACCTTCCCCGCCAGTTACGCGCTTCCCGTCTTGATATGTGCGAGCCGTTTTTCACTTACATTTTTGTCGGGCGCGACTGATCCCGTCGCCACAAACGCCATCCAGCTGCCCTGCCATGCCCCGTAGACGAGTCCAGCGGGCTCATGCGTCACTATCGCAAACAACGCAGCCCTTGCACAAAGAGACGCGCCGTAGTTTCCGATAAGTGGTAAAAGGGCATGGGCGGAGATGTGGCCATGATGCGATGCCTCTTCGTGAAAGCTGCGAGGATGGTAATACCGTCGAATGTGGATGAGCAGAGGCGTGCGATCAATCGTGTACCGTCCCCTCTCCCATCTCGTCCATGTCCTCGTGTTTTCGCAGGTCAGAAGCTGTAAATGGCGCCCACAGTGAGCGGGCAAGCTGCCTCGACTGGATTGCGGAGCGAGACGCATACAGCGAGCGGCGGGAGAAATCGTGGGAGGGAGACCGTTGCCGCTGCCCCTCACTTGAAAGCCAATGCAACGCGTTCGACCGAACCCAGCGAGCTTGAAGGAGTGTCGGCTCGTGTCGGTGATGTCACGGAATGCGCGCCAAGCGACACTACTACGGACGGGGAAGAAGTCATGAATAACATGGATGGGGGACACGGTAGAGGGAGAGGGGGAGGGAGAGAGGGAGGCAAAGGGAGAGGGGGAGGGAGAGGGGGAGGGAGAGGGAGGGGTGTAAGGGGGGAGCGGAGCGGTGTGCAGGAGATGCGCGGCGTAGATGATGGTCATGGCGTGGATCGAGAGGAGGCGGAGGGAGTAGTAGTAGACGGGGCGTTGAGCAGGGTGGACGGGATGGAGGGCAGAGGGGGGGGGGGACATCGGAGACGGGGGAGGCAGCAAAATTGGAGAATGGGCCGAGGATTCCAATGGGTCGGCGGAAGCGCTTTCGACGCGGGCCACGAATCGAGCTGCTGGTTTAGGAGCAGCAGCATTGCAGCAGGCAGGTATACGTGGAGACAGGGGGGGCAAGGGAGACGGGGGAGGGCGCGGAGCCAGGGGAGGAAAGGGGGGGGGAGGGGGGGCGGACAGGCAGGCAGGGGGAGGGCCGGGGGGAGAGACAGCAGAGACAGGGGAGGCCACAAAGCCAGCGATGCAGCCGAGGATCTCGAGGTGGACGGAAGCGCGTTTGACGTGGGCCATGTGTCTTCGTTCCGCAGTAGCCACGGGTGAGGTGGGTGGTGCGACGAGAGACGGAGCCAGGGGAGAAACGGGGATGGGCAGGGGAGGCGGGATGGGTGGCAGGGTGAGAGGCAGCAGAGACGGGGGGGTGCGACGGGAGACGGAGCCAGGGGAGAAAGGGGGATGGGCAGGGGAGGCGGGATGGGTGGCAGGGTGAGAGGCAGCAGAGACGGGGGAGGCCACAAAGACAGAGGTAGGGCCGAGGATCTCAATGGGTCTGCGGAAGCGCGTTTGACGCAGGCCATGAATCCACGACTTGGTCGCGTAGCAGTCATGCAGCAGGCAACAATTGGTGTTGCGACGAGGGATTGGAAGCGTGGCGGGGATAGACGCGATGGTGCGACGGCGGAGGTGGTGGGAGCCGACGGGAGCAGCACGGACGGCAGCAGTGGAGTGCTGGAGGAGGCTCCCGTCCTGGGGGAACTGGCGCAACAAGCGGAAAGAGAGGCGCCAGCAGAAAGGGGTGGTTGGGGGGGCACGTATACGAGGGTGGAGCGAATTCACGAGGAGGGGGAGGGTGGAGAGGGCGTTGGGTCGGGCGGTGTGCCATGTGCGGAGGGGCTAGACGCGGCAGGGGGGGGGCGGATGCACGAAAGGAGAAGGGGGGGGGCGCAGCGGGGCGGCATTAGGAGAGGCCGTTTCGGCCGGTGAGCGGCGTGCGCACGATCGTGCGGCGGCGGAGGCGGTTGGAGCAAAGGCGGTCAGAATGCGCGGCGAAGGAGAGGGGCGCGGTAGCCATAATGCCGCGCCCCCGTCCTCCCACCGTCCATCCGACGTCCGTCCCGGCCCTCATCCTGCCCCCTGCCCTTCGCCCGACCCTGCCCCCAGGCCTCCCGCGGAACCTACCCGCGTCTACTACGACGGTCCGTACTTGACGGGCTTGATCGAGCGCACGGTGGAGAAGCGCGTGCAAGAGGTCGTAGATGCGCTCGTCGGCCAGCCGCCAAACGGGTCGACCGCGTGTGCACCGGGCCCCGCCGCCATCCCACGCCCATACGCAGCGCCGGCTCAGTCCGCCCCTCCCGCGCGACCCCGAGCACGGCCGTTGCAGTCGTCGGCCCAAGTCACACGGGAGGTCACAGCTGCCCACACTGCAGCTGTCTCCGACGGGACCTCGACGCGCTCACCGACGGTCAACCCAGGAAGCGACGAGGTCAGTGGAGACGCGGAAGCACCGAAGGGGGAGGGGGTGGGGGGTGCGGGCCGCGGCCGCCGAAGGGGGAGGGGAGGGGGGGGGGGCGGGTGGGTGCGGGCCGCGGCCGTCGAAGGGGTAGGGTGCGGGCCGCGGCCGCCGAAGGGGGAGGGGGTGGGGGGTGCAGGCTGCGGCCGCCGAAGGGGGGGGGGGGGGGGGAGGGGGGGGTGCAGACCGCGGCCGCCGAAGGGGGAGGGGAGGGGGGGGGGGGGGTGCGGGCCGCGGCCGCCGAAGGGGGAGGAAGGGGGGGGGGGGGGGGGGGTGCAGGCCGCGACCGCCGAAGGGGGAAGGGGGGGGGGGGGGGGGGGGGTGCGGGCCGCGGCCGCCGAAGGGGGAGGGGGGTGCGGGCCGCGGCCGCCGAAGGGGGAGGGGGGGCGCGCGGCCGCCGAAGGGGGAGGGGGGGAGGGGGGGGGGGGGGGGGGGGGGCGCGGCCGTCGAAGGGGGAGGGGAGGGGTGTCAAAGTACATGCTAGACTTAGTAGGATTAGAAGCCAAGGGTTTAGCTAGCATGAGAGAAGTGAGAGGAAGGCCGAGGGTGTTGGCCAAAAGAGAAGGTGTTGCACTATAAAAACAACAGTACATATAGGTAGAAGCCATTTAGAACAGAATCACTGTATTATAGAAGAGAGTTACAGATCTACTGCAAATTGTTATCACCGCAATGAATAACCAAGATTTTCTCCAAAGGAGAAATTTCTTCAATAGATCTTACAACCACAGCAATGTGAAAAACCACTCTGTTGCAAAATATCCTTACCACCGCAGTGGATAAGGCAAGAACAATCACAAAGTGATTGTCTTCAACAGAAAAGGTTAATCCACACAGGTTGCCAATAACCAACTTCTTCACAGTGACTCCAGAAGTTCCACCAGCAAGGAGGGAGGGAGGGAGTAGAAGTCTTGGAGAAGCTTCCAGATCTTGAAAACTTGAGCTTGAGTAGCTTGTAGTCTTCAAAAGTTTATAATAAGGAGATTACAATAAAAATCACCACTCCTCCAAGAAAATAAAAGTCTAAAATCCTCTTAGATGCCCACAAAGAGAGGATCTTTCTTTAGCTCTGATTACCAATGTAACAGATCTGCTAATAAAAAGGGCATTTACCCATTCATAGATAGGTTTCAGTACAAAACAGAGAATGGCAGCTCTTGGAATTGACTAAGTCTGGAGAATGGTAGAGGATCCAGTAACAAACTGTGGAAGGAGAGTTGAGAGAGAACAATCCTATTTCTCAATTGATTAGTTGGGGATAGGAAGTGGAGAATGAGCTTGGAAGGCTCAGACCCCTTCCTACTACCCCTTGGGGTGCAGCCACCTTCCCCATGGCAAGGAGGGGTGCACCTCCATGGGCTTTGCCAATGTGGCAATGGTAGATTCTTTTATCCAATGACATGGCACAAAGGAATGGAATAAACATGATGTGTATGCAAAGTGCTATCCAAACCAGTCATGTTACAAGGTTGGGCTGAACCTACGTGGGTGGTTTCTGGTTTGGTTGAGAATCAACCAATACCAACCAATCCCGTACGTTCTATCAACAATTGCACATCATTGCTTCTGATTGGTTGGTTTTCCAACCAAGTCAATTCCAACCCAAGTCTCGCTTCCATTAATTCTTCAACCAATCACATTCCCTTCCTTTTCCCCCTCACTACTGGTTCGATGTATCAAGACCCGGTGGGGTAGGTACGGATGTTACACTCCTCCCCCTCCAGCTGGCAACGTCCTCGTTGCCGTGGGGTGCTTCTTAGGACGAGTGCTGCGAGCACGACGAACCACATTACGACCAGGGTCAACACCATCCGCTGGTTGTGGGAGTGCCCGTTGAGCCAGGTCTTCCATGTAGGACTAAACCGCAGTATCAGTCAAATGTTCTTCCGGCTCCCAAGAGTTGTGTTCAGGCCCATAGCCTTTCCACTTAATGAGGAACTCTCGTACAGTTTTGCGGCCGCGTTGTCGATCACGATGCAAAAGCACTCGTTCGACTTCATAATATAGTTCCTCCCCTAGGACGATTGTTGGTGGTGGTAAGTACGTGCCTTCTGCAACGTACTTGCTTAACAGAGACACATGGAAGACATTGTGAATCTGAATGGTATCAGGCAGCTTGAGCTTGTAAGCTACCACACCAACTCGTTGAACCACCTCGAAGGGCCCAATCCAGCGAGGGAACAACTTTCTCGCACCAGGGATCTTATGCCGAATATTCTTCGTGCTTAACAAAACTTTGTCTCCAACGGAGAAGGAGACTTCCCGGCGTTTCATATTGGCATAGGATTTTTGCCTTTGTTGGGCTAATTGAAGCCAACGACGTGCCGACTTTAGGGCCTCTCGTTGCTTGCCCACAAAATCCTTTACGGCAGGTAATTTCAAACCGCCAATCCCATGCGTAGCAGGTGTTGTGGGATGCCGACCACAGTTCAGGATAAATGGTTTTTCATGTGTGCTATCATGCACTGAGTTGTTAACCGCAAACTCGACCATGGGTAACAACTCGTCCCAATTATCCTGTGTTGGACTTATGAAAGAACAAAGCATCTGCTCGAGAGTGCGGCTAGTACGTTCCGTTTGCCCATCTGTCTGTGGGTGGAACGCTGACGACATCTTAAGCTTCGTTCCTAGTGTCTCGGTTACTTCACGCCAGAATCGGCTAGTGAAGCGCGGGTCGCGATCAGACACTAATACACGTGACAATCCGTGTAGGCGGAACACATGTGCCACGAACAACCGAGCCGTATCCTGTGCTGACACGTCTGTTGTCGTGGGTACGAAGTGTACCATCTTTGTAAGGCGATCTACAAAAACGAGTATCGCCGTATACCCATCACGGGTTTTTGGGAGGTCACTGATGAAATCCAGTGAAACGCTTTCCCAAGGTTCACTCGGAATTTCAAGTGGTTGAAGTAAAACACCAGGCTTCTGTGTGTCCGGTTTGTTACGTACGCACGTGTCACAACGTGCCACAAACTGTTGGACATCACTACCGACTCCTGGCCACCAATACACATCACGTAGGGCCCACCGGGTCTTATTCATGCCCAAGTGTCCCCCATATTTAGTGGCATGCACCTCTTCCAACATATCGTTCCGCAGATTGTCTACATGAGGTACCGCAATCTCTTTTGTTCGCCACCAAAGATCGTGTTCCCATGTCAAATGTTTGGTGTTTTGTGGGTTATGGAACCAGGAATCGATGATATCCTGTACGAATTCGTTTCAGAAAACCACTGAACGCGATCTCGCTCACTTTCGACGCAGCTAGTATGCTAAAACAGGCAGCAAAAACAGCCGCATGTTCAGTATCGTCAAGCCCGGTTGCCGCCCCTATCGGCTGTCTGCTGAGGGGGTCAGCCAGGTTCGTGGAACCTGCACGATAACGAATGTCAAAACTGAACCCGCTGAGGAGTTCAGCCCAACGGGCCTGACGGTGAGTGAGGGTAGCTTGGGTAGAAAAATATGTGTTCGGACAATGGTCAGTGGTGAGCACGAACTCTACCCCTTCCAAATAACATCGCCATGTTCTGCGCGCATGCACGATAGCCAACAACTCTTGTTCAGTAGTCGTGTAGCGTTGCTCTGCTGGGGAGAGTTTTCTACTCTCAAATGCCACAGGGCGTCCTTCTTGCAGGAGCACTGCTCCAAGTCCCACCGTTGAGGCGTCTGTAACCACCTCATATGGTTTCTGTGGGTTTGGTAACACCAACACTGGTGCGTTAGTTATTTTATGCTTGACCTCTTCGAAGGCCTTTTGGCATTGTGGAGTCTACTCCTATGCACACCCTTTTCGGGTCAATGCCGTGAGGGGAGCGACAATCGTGGAATAATTTTCCAGGAAGCGACGAAAATAATTCGCCAGGCCCAGGAATGATCGAACTTGGCCAACGTCGCGTGGGACGGGCCACTCCTGGACAGCTGCTACCTTCTTGGTGTCCACCTTTAACCCGTTATGCCCCACCACGTGCCCCAAATACTCCAGCTCACGTTTGTAAAAATGACATTTCCACAAACGCGCGTAGTATTTATGCTCGCGTAATTTTTCGAGGACCCATTTCAGATGTTCCGTATGCTCATCTTCGGTTTTCGAGTATACCAGGATATCATCGAGGTACACCAAGACGAACTGGCCAATCGCATCACGAAACACATCGTTCATCGCCCTCTGGAAAGAGGCCGGAGCGTTGGTCAAGCCAAAACTTAACACACGCCACTGAAAATGGCCGAACGGCGAACGGAAAGCCGTCTTTGGAACATCGTCCTCTGTTATACGCAATTGGTGATAACCTTGCGCCAAATCCAATGCACTGAACCATTGCGCACCCTGTAGTCGATCAAATAAATATTCTAGCCGCGGAAGTGGATATCTGTTTTTTATCGTAATTTTATCCAGGGCTCGATAATCGACGCACATGCGCAGTCCACCTCTCTTCTTGTGAACAAACAAGATAGGTGCTCGATACGGGGACGCGCTGGGTTCTATCCATCCCTTCCTCAGGTATTCCTCAATCTGTTGTTTAGCCTCCTCGTACTCAGCTGGGCTGAGGCGATACAGAGGTCTAAATGGTGGTGCCTTCCCTGGTTCCACCGGGATGGTGTGGCTGACTTCACGGTCGGGAGGTAACCCGTCCGGAATTGGCTCGAAAAACTCAGAATATTCCTCTGCCAACGCCTTCATTTGAGGTGGGAAATCCTCGATTATCTGTGAAGTTGTTGGTTCAGAATCTAGCTGTACCACGAAAAGTGTATCAGCTCCCTTGACATGCTCTTTGAATTGGAGAGCCGACGCAAAGCGCACATCAATAACCAAGCTTTGAGGTTTTTCGTCCAGTACATGGCACTTTGGGACTTGTCATTGAAACGTCGTCCCATTCTTTGTGAATGAAAGCGTGTTATCTTGGAAATTTAATATCACCTCATTATGCCGCAGCCAATCCATTCCCAAGACAATGTCTACGCCTGCTAGGAGGGGTAAGACAAAAACGCTGATGGTCTCCTGATATCCTTGGGTATCCAGGTTGACCAACGCATGACCTCTGCATGGGATGATCTTGTCATCCCCCAGGCGGATAACAATTTACCTCGAATTGTGCGCGTTACCATTCCAACCGCAGTTAGAGGTGCGCTTGGGTGCAACGACCCACTACATCCATTATCCAAGGCAAATTTTGGTGATCAGAAAAAATAATTGAGAATCTATCTCGTAATGATTCAACTGTGATATTTTCCAGTGGGTGAAATCGAGAGGCAAACAAAGAACTTTCATTAAAAGAAAAATGCATATACACATGCAATTTTGCAATCAACAAGGCACTCGAGTTTCAACAACTCCTCATCCCGCAGGACCACTGCCTCATCCTCTCGATCTACTATGCCCGCTAGGTACCCACCCCTTAGTTGGGCTTTGCAAAAACCCGCAGGCCGCCCGAGGGGCCACTGCCATCATGGCGCTTGTTGTCCGTCTTGGGCTTGCCAGAGTACTTCACCGACTTGCGGTGGCGGCACTCATAGCCCTTGTGGCCAGGCTTGCCGCACTTGAAGCAACCCTGGACATTGCTTGGTCCACCCTCGTTGACCTTCTTGGCCTTGTGGTCAGCCTGCTGTCCCTGCTGGAAAGGCCTCTTGTGGTTCCCGCCCTTCCAAGGCGTTGCCTGTTGCCTTCCGCTTGGGCCCGCAGGGCTGGACGACGGCCTTGAGGCCTGCTGCGGCTGGGTAGTAGTTTTCGCGTAAGCACGGAAATGCTTATCAGTGGTCCCCACCACGCGCTTCACGTGATCATAGGACCTCCACGACTCCCCAGCCCCATCCGTCATATGCATGCTCTAGAGGTGCTCAGGCAGACCCTTGAAGAAGAGGTGGATCTTCTCGCCTTCGCTCATACGTTCCGCCGGTTTCTGGAGCACCCATATCTCCTCGAACTCCATAGCGTACTGCTGAACTGTGCGGTTCCCGCACTGCAGCTTCTCAAGGCGACTGCGCACCTCCAGCTGGGTCGGCTGGACCTGGAAAGCGTGCTTGAATGCAGAGGCGAATTCCTCCCACCCAAACGGCTTCCTATCCGCCTCAGCCTGGAGCTTGCTGCCATACACCACTCGCTGTGCATTCTGGTCCAGCACGGTGGTGGCAGCGACGACGCGAGCGACGTCATGGACCTTGTGAGCCTTGAACAAGTCGGTCATCATCGACAACCATGCCGCCACGTCCGTCTTGCCATGGATGAATGGCGGCAGGGTAATCGGCAGAGAGCAAAAAAATTGCGTGTTCGGCTCAGCAGCGCGCTGCGTAGAAGGTCCGGGGTCACCCGCCACACCACCAGAGCGAGAAGGGTTGGTGCGACCGCTAGCAGAGTTGGCAGGCGGGTCCGCTCGTGGTGCAGGGCGAAACATGGTCTCACGCCAGAGAACATTGAAAGCCTCCTGCAGATCGTTGATCTTTGAAGTCTGCCTCGCCAACTGGTGAACGTGCTCCCGTGCATCGTGCTTCATGTTCTTAAGCTCAACTTCAAGGTACTTGATTTTGTTGTCTTATTTAGCAAGCTCCCCCCTGAGGTTGGTAATGAGTGACTGCTGCTGCTGGATGCGCGTATCCTGCTCAGCAGCATGATCCTGCAGCTTAGCAATTTCAGCATGCAGAATAACCTCTTCCCCTTCCAACTCAATGTCATCCTCCTGAGACTCCTCTTCCTGCTCCTTGGAATTTTCAGCAGCTGGAGGGTCCTTAGCAGGGGAGTTTTCAGCAGGTTCCTTTTCATCCATTTCCTCATCCATGTTGTTCATGTCAATCTTCAGCACAGAAGCTTCCAGATCAGCATGGGAGTTGTTGCCTTCAACACCACCAGCATTGGAGTTGGTAGAAGCCATTTAGAACAGAATCACTGTATTATAGAAGAGAGTTACAGATCTACTGCAAATTGTTATCACCGCAGTGAATAACCAAGATTTTCTCCAAAGGAGAAATTTGTTCAATAGTTTTTACAACCACAGCAATGTGAAAAACCACTCTGTTGCAAAATATCCTTACCACCGCAGTGGATAAGGCAAGAACAATCACAAAGTGATTGTCTTCAACAGAAAAGGTTAATCCACACAGGTTGCCAATAACCAACTTCTTCACAGTGACTCCAGAAGTTCCACCAGCAGGGAGGGAGGGAGGGAGTAGAAGTCTTGGAGAAGCTTCCAGATCTTGAAAACTTGAGCTTGAGTAGCAGCTTGTAGTCTTCAAAAGTTTATAATAGGGAGATTACAATAAAAATCACCACTCCTCCAAGAAAATAAAAATCTAAAATCCTCTTAGATGCCCACAAAGAGAGGATCTTTCTTTAGCTCTGATTACCAATGTAACGGATCTGCTAATAAAAAGGGCATTTACCCATTCATAGATAGGTTTCAGTACAAAACAGACAATGGCAGCTCTTGGAATTGACTAAGTCTGGAGAATGGTAGAGGATCCAGTAACAAACTGTGGAAGGAGAGTTGAGAGAGAACAATCCTATTTCCCAATTGATTAGTTGGGGATAGGAAGTGGAGAATGAGCTTGGAAGGCTCAGACCCCTTCCTACTACCCCTTGGGGTGCAGCCACCTTCCCCATGGCAAGGAGGGGTGCACCTCCATGGGCTTTGCCCATGTGGCAATGGTAGATTCTTTTATCCAATGACATGGCACAAAGGAATGGAATAAATATGATGTGTATGCAAAGTGCTATCCAAACCTGTCATGTTACAATTGGTTGTGATTTCACCGTTCGGCGGAAACTTGTCGACTCACACATTGTAGGGCATTTCTGATTGGTTAGACAAAGGTTGGGCTGCACCTACGTGGGAGGTTTCTGGTTTGGTTAAGAATCAACCAATACCAACCAATCCCGTACGTTCTATCAACAATTGCACAGCATTGCTTCTGATTGGTTGGTTTTCCAACCAAGTCAATTCCAACCCAAGTCTCGCTTCCATTGATTCTTCAACCAATCACATTTCCCTTCCTTTTCCCCCTCACTGCTGGTTCGATGTATCGAGACCATGTGGGGTAGGTACGGATGTTACAAGGCATGCCGGCATCCTTGGATGGAAGGAGAGATATAGGATCACGAGAGTCAGGTTCTCCGACTATTCTGGTGAGGCAGGAAGACCGTGCCGTCGTGATATCCTACTCGGTGCCTGTCGCATCATGGGCTGAGAGGGCGCTCCGATTCATTCCACCTACGGTCGTGAGGCAATGTGTCCTACCGTGTCCGACAAGCGAACTGGGTGGCACGCGATCGTTGCGAGGACGACATGCGATCGCCATCACGCTACTCGCCCTGGCAAGTCTTACGTTTCACGAAACCATAGCGGTAATACCAGTGGAAGCGACCGTTACCGCCAATTGTCGCTTTATTGTCGGCCGAGTGGCGCAAGTAACAAATTTATCCCCACAGTCGTAAACAGAAACCTACCCCAGGTGACGCTACTCTGTGGGATCGACGTCAGAGCGAATAACAAGGCCTACGGACGAGCTACACCTTCTTGTTCGACTCGTAAAGAAAATGGGTAAGTTGAAAGTGGCCATTGGGAGATCTGCGAAAGTGGAACCAGCATTGCGAAGGTCCATCTAACACTTGAAATAGCGAATTGGGGTCATTGTCAAATCAAGTCGGTTCGGTTCAGGCATGATCCACACAATGAGTAAATGTGAGGGTGTTTGTTGTTGAAAGAAAACAAGCAAAACTGAGTACAATATAAGTGTCATATCTTGCTGTAACACTATTCCTCTTCCACTGCTGCTTCTGCTTTTTCCCCCAGTGCTGCAGGCGCACTCCTTTGGCCTCGCCCCATCAGCCATGGTTCGGATGATTGCAGTGGCCATGCTGCTGCCAGGGTTGCTGGTCGTCCCCGCCGCTGGCATCGCTGCAGTCAGCATCATGACACTTCAAGAGGATGTGAGTGAAGTTCTTCCTTCGCTGCTATCGTTGTGATTGCACTCACCAGCGTAACGCCACGACCCCACAGGACGTGAGGGCACGATGTGAGTGACCAAGGCCATGGCAGCGAACAGTGATGCATGGTGGTTGTTGGTTGCTCCATCCATGGCATGCTGACCACCATGCTCATCCCAACCAGCATAGTTGTGCATATTCTCCACGTGTCAGATTGCCACTCACACAGCCACGTGTCAGATTGCCACTCACACAACCACGTGTCAGATTGCCACGCACACAGCCACATGTCTGAATGCCACGCACACAGCACACGCAGCAACGGAGGACATGAGCACGTAGAGGGGATTCAACGCCACAGCCACATGCCAGAATGCCACGGACCGACCTCCCACTCGTGCCAACATAATTGCAGCCTCCCTTCAGCATGCCCACTCTCTCAACGTGCCTCTTCACTCCCTCCAAACCCTGATGTGGGTGTGCATGAATGAGGTTTCTTCACTTGTCACACTGCTGCAACTTTTTTCTTACTTTATTTCTTTCTAACTACCGTTCCGTTGAGCTGTAACCGCCCCTCATACTATTTCTTGCGTGTCACGCTTTCCGCCCCTGTTGTCCCACACCTACAGTCGTCCGCATTCTTCATGTATTTTGGAATCATCACGCTTGCAGCACTGTTGTGGGGGATGGGCGTGAACCACACGCAAGTCAGAGCATGGGTGCATCAGGAGGGCTTGGCGGTTAGGCTAATGAAGCTGAAGAGTGCAATCAAGTGCCTTGTGGTATGCCATGCACTCTACCAACAATTTCATCTCTCTGCTAAGTTTCTCCCTGTCTATTGAGGCTCTCCCTCCCATTTCTTTGTGTCGTCACTCTTGTTCCCGTCCCTCATCCTCGTCTCCCCCAATCCCGTCACCGCTCCTCGCCCTGCAGCCAAGTGGAATCTTCCCTCTGCTGCACAGCCCCATGTGAGCACTGAGCATACACCTCCTCACCATCATTCAACCTAACGCGAGACCCATTTGCCGTTTCGTTCTCATATTTTATTCATCATTCATTCGTCTGTATGCTTCTGATAAGTCATCTTCTGTGAACTGTTGCCGTTCATCACTAACCCTACATGCTCTCTGGGGGTTCTCGTATCTCCACCTGCATGTTCCATCTATCCTCATGTTCTTCATCTTCATGTGTGCTGCCTTGTGCTCTCATGTGCTTCCTTGTGCTCTCATGTGCTGCCTTGTGCTCTCATGTGCTGCCTTGTGCTCTCATGTGCTGCCTTGTGCTCTCGTGTGCTGCCTTGTGCTCTCATGTGCTGCCTTGTGCTCTCATGTGCTGCCTTGTGCACGCCCGTTCTCTGCAATGCGTTGGAGCAATGCATTTTTCAGGATGCAGAGAGTGGGTGTGGCTGTGGGAACTGCCTTGGCGAGGATGGTCGGAACACACGAGCTGGGTGAGGCGATGGAGATGAGAATGAGGGTGCTTGGCGTGCAGCTGGAAGAGACAAGGAGGGAGTTGGCAGCAGTCAAGGGGGAATTAAAGGACGCAGAGAGGAGACGAGTGGAGGAGATGAGGGAGACGAGAGGGCAGGTGGAGGAGAGGGAGAAAGAGCTGTTTGAAATGAAGGGGGAGCTGGCTGCAGTCAAGGGGAATTGGCTGAATTCAAGGGCGTTGCAAGACAAGATTCAAAGTCAAGTGATCAGCTGAGAATCAGTCGGAGTGAAGGCAACACGAAGACTGCATGGGAGGTGAGTGTTGCATAAAGTATTTCACATATAATGCATTGTCTCACAGAGCATGCGTTGTTTCACAACAGAAGCATTGTTGCAATATATTTCCTTCGTCTCACCATAATCATCCCTCTTGTCATGCATTCCCTCCTCATCCATTTTTGCAGAGAAACAAGTATCATAGCAGACTCATTTGGACATCAGGAAACTTCACGGCCTGCAGACGCCATCCTCGCCCATGTCTCCACAGTGACGGATCCGACAAGCATGAGCTTGCCATGTAGCTCAAGCTTCCATGCAGAGGGCATCAAGCACCTCTACAGACTGCCCTTGCAGAAGAAGCAGTCGTCTTAGACAGTGCATTGGAAGGCATTAGGCCTTTGACCAGTCTCAAGAACTTCAATCCCTGTAATACCAAGGCGGCCGATGCTGGTCTGGTCTGCCACAGTTGACAGCTTCATGTCGCGTGTGGCAGCTTCATGGTGATCGTCTAGTGGAGTTGCATGTTGCATAGAGTCCATACAGAGGGCAGGCCTAGGGGAGAAAACAGAAACAGAGGGCTCAGTATGTATAGCTTGTTGTAGCTCAATGCTTTCAAACGTTAAGGCACAGATTGCAAAGAATCTAATTGCGAAGATCTCGTCGGGCGCTTCCTTTACATCTTGAACACCGTGGATAAGCACGACTTACTGGTACCCCTCATGTTCATGTTCAATTCTTGCACAGTTGAGCTCCAGAAATATGCATCAGTCAATAACATCAACACTTCAGAGAATGGAGTACAGTAGGCACGATTCCTTAGTATTTGAAACCACATGGTTTCACAATGATCCACAGTCCACATGAGTGGAAGCGGCTTGCAAGAGGTTTTACGTGCACTCTGTTGGCTGGGGTGGGTGGCATGGGAAGGAGGGCAGAGGTGAAGCGGGAATAAGTGGGCCTGTGTGTGCATGGGAAAAGGGCAGATGTGATGCATGCTGCTGCACACCCCTGCTTGCAATGTCCCTGCACGTTCCCTCCTAACAATCAACCCTTGCCCCTCAACACTTCTCACACCAGCCCCAGCAACACCTGCTGGAGCTGGCAGAAATGAATCTGAGTGGCTTGCAGGAGATGATGCCTTGCATCTCGCCAGAACTGATCAACGTGTTTGCTGCCGTGATGCAAACACCCTTCCCTCCTCACCGTTAAGGTCGTTGCATGTCGTCACAGCTCACCACGATAACAGTAATCTTTGGCTTTTGACAAGGGCATAAGAGAAGGGACGGCATGAGTGAGCGGTAGGTATGAAAGCACTACAATGCGTTCTAGAAATGCTGTGTGGGATAAGTTATGGTTGCACAGGCCAATAAAACACACAGATATGGCTGCTCATGTGTATCAAGTAGATCTAATTAGCAACATAAGCTGAAAACCTTTCATTTTGACATCCTGATAGTCCCAACACCAGCCATTCTTGTTCCGATCTCTCGACCAGCATCACCAAACCTCCCTCGGCGCCGTGACGATTGGAGTGCTTGTAGCACCATTCTTCTGCCGCCATCAACCAACCTCCAAGAAGGAAGGCAAAACATGTGTGGTGGGAGTATGGGGGAGGGGGAAAGGGACAGGGAGAGATGGGAGCGGGGGAGAGGAGGGGGGGTGAGACAAAGAGGGGGGGTGAGACGAGGAGGGTTGTTGAGAGACAAGGAGGGGAAATGGGTTGAGCAGCCGGTACTGGTGCAGGTGATGCCTAAAGGAGGGGAGGTTGTAACTGCTTGGGTGGAATAGTGGGGGAACTAAAGGCGATGGTGGGAAAGATGGATCCAGGATGCACAGGGGGTGAACACCAACAAATGGGCATGGCAAGATGAGATGAAGGACATGGCACAGTGAGATTGTATGATCGAACTGCTTACAACTAAAACGGAAGAGGAGAGGACAGGAAGGAGAGGAACAGACGTTGGAGGAACCTAATGGGGTGGTGAGGACTCCAGGTACGGGGAAGGGAACATTAAAGATTGGGAGGAGGGGAGGGAGGGAGGGAGAGGGGGTGGAGACAAGGGAGATGGCAAGGAGGGAGTGGAAGAAACGGATGCTGAATGGGAGGGACATAAGGGGATGGAAGTGAGGGGGGTTGGGACAACGTGGGAGGTTTTGCGGGAGGGTACCTTGCAATGTCACCATGTCACGTCGTGATGTCATAAGCCATTCACGAGGAGGGTGGTCAGCTCCTTCTGCCGCTTCACCCTCTCTCCCCACTGACCGTACTTTGCAAAACAACTAGTGTTTCAACCACACATGCGTTGGGGAAGTGTGTAATTACCGATAAGATTGGGAGAGGTGGCACGGCCGCAACAGAGCTGTTGGCTTGACTTCAGAAAGCAGAAAGGAGTTAGCGTTGTTTGAGGGGGATGAGGATGAGAATAGGAGGAGACAAGGTGAGAAGGGGGATGGAAGGGGGTTTGGAAGAAAGAGAGCTTCTTGGGAGAAGTGAGGAGGAGTACGAATGTAGGAAAAGCGAGTCAATAATACATTTATATGGGAGGAGAACGGGTGTGGTGTCAAGGGTGGGACTGTGGGAGGAGGGAGGGGGTTGGGTGGGAAGCTGCGGCGATTCTGCGATGTAGAGATACATGATACTGCAGTGCCGGAGAACCATCGTATGCATGGTGACGCTGTTTGGAAGGACAGCAACCTGAAGACGTGCATATGACACGACACTGTGACAGATTACGCTGTCACAATCTAGAATGCATGCATTTTGCCGCCTCACTCTGCCCTGCTATGCTATGCCTCACTCTGCCCTGCTATGCCTCGCTCTGCCCTGCTATGCCTCACTCTGCCCTGCTATGCTATGCCTCACTCTGCCCTGCCATGCCTCACTCTGCCCTGCCATGCCTCGCTCTGCCCTGCTATGCCTCACTCTGCCCTGCCATGCCTCGCTCTGCCCTGCCATACCTCGCTCTGCCCTGCTATGCCTCGCTCTGCCCTGCTATGCCTCGCTCTGCCCTGCTATGCCTCGCTCTTGCCCGCCTCCATCCGCTTACGGCTGACCGCCTTCATTGCCACCACTGCTGCTGCTGCAGCATCCTATGGTCTGCCATGCTGTCGCGTGTGTGACGCAGCAATGATCTGGGCTACTCATGACTGGTCCAGGGCAAGGTGCTGTTGGTGTGGGAAAGGGAAGGGAGTTACGGGGAAGGAGCAAGGAAAGAAAAGGAGTACTGCTGAGAGAGGGGAGCGTTAGAGAGGTGAAGATGCAAGGGGTGGAATGCATTCCCAGCATCACAAGAAGGACGTTATCACGCAATAAGCACCATCAATCTCACCAGTTTAGAGGAGCCTCAAAGGCTGCAGCATAGGCATGAGCAAGGATCCGAGCCAAGCCGGCTCGTCCCAAGCCGTGCCATGCTGAGCCGGCAGCTGGTCCGGGCTTGTGGCTGTTGTCGGATGGAGACAAGCAGGGACGAGACGAGCCGGTATCAGCCAGAACGGCTTGCTGCCGTCTGTGCGGATCTGGCATTTCGTCGCTACATCCGCGCAAACACAGCGTTTCACGGCCGCGAGCGGATATGAAACCCTCATATGAAGGGCAGAGTGAGACAAAGCGTTCCTCCTTCACCTCCCTTGGCGCGTAAACGAGCTGACAGCTTGTCAAGCCGGCTGACGGCTCCCCAGACCGGATCAGGTTCCACGGGCTGAAGAGCCAGGTCGTGGATAGCCGAGCAAAATTGGCTTGAGTGGGCCATGCTAGGAGAGGAATGTCGTCAATCTCACCATGAGCACCATATCAAGCACCTTTCATTCACACTCGTGCTGCATTCGCTCCTTCAAAGCGAAGCACAGTGCTTCAAGTAGTAGTAGTGAACCCAATGAAACTCACAAATAAAATCTCCAGAAGGCACGAACACCACGCCGTACGAGTTCTTGCCCTTGCACGCCCGTAATGCCTCCGCCCCACTGTCAATGACCTGTACGAGTCCAGGCTTGAGCATCCTCAGCTATCAAACCCGCCAGCGCTACCGCCACCACATTTCCTCCTTCACCTCCCTCTGACTTATCTCCTCGTCTACCTTCCTCCACCTCCCACTGCTTCCATGTCCCCTCTTATTCCGCTTGCCAATTCCTGCCCCCCTACATACTCCTTGAAATAACCTCATCTCCATCCTCGCCCCACTTAGTCCGTCCTGCTTTGGAGCGAGTTGTCACCAATCGCAGCCCGTTGCCTCCGCGCTCTCCTGCTCTCACAACTAGTTGCTGGTGCTGCTGGTGTGGGAAGCGGAAGGGTGTGGAGGGAAGTGGGGTGCTGGGCGAAAAGGGTAGGGGCGTGCTGCTGAGCAAGGAGGAGGAAGCGGAAGAGAGTTAATAATTTCGCAGTCTTCAACTTACATTTGCGTTTGCCATCACGCTCCGCGCCCTGGCGAGCCTTACATCGTCGCGGCAATGACTACGTTTCATGGTCCCTTCGTGGTGCTAGCTACCAGTGGAAGCGTCGGTCTCGCCACCTTTGTCGCCTGTCGGTTAAATGCCGGTCGTGGCGAAGCGAGGGTGAGGAGCAGGGGAAGCGAGGGCGATGGGGGAAAGCAAGGGCGACGGGGAAAAGCAAGGGCGACGGGGAAAAGCAAGGGCGACAGAGGAAAGCAAGGGCGACGGCGGAAAGCAAGGGCGACGGCGGAAAGCAAGGGCGACGGGGACAATGTGCAAGTGCGCGCCGATTCGCTCGATGGGCGGATACGTTTACCTCCACATGGTGGGAGCTAGCTGGCTAGCGGCTCAGTGATTAGAATGGATATAAAGGCTATTCAAAATAAAATTGCAGATTGCAAAGTAATCAGTCTCGACCATAATTACCATACCGTAATAAGTCTCGACCCAAAATCCAAAGTACAAGTTGCAGATTGCAATTGGTTTCCGCTCGCGAATCGAAACAACACCTGAAGAATAATTGTTCGCCTACTCTGTTACTTGCTACAAAACGTAAGTGATGATTCCCCCACCCCCCCACCCCCCCCCTCTACACGACCCAACTCGACCTCCTTAGTTTAGGGAGCCCCTTAGTTTTTGGGCAGCTATGGGAGTGTCCAAACCCTAGCTCAGTTACAAGCTAAGCACATGCATTTCACATTTTCATCCCACAGCAACATCGAGGGACCTTGTATTGAATCAAGAAGTCTCAACTTGTTCAATTCTGAATTTGCTCAACCAAGTTCGCTGGATACCAAAACCACCAGTCCCAGTTCGAAGCATTCGCGAAACCAAATATCGACCAAGACCGCGAGCTGACGTGGTGCGCGCTAATTTGGTTACCCAATGTTCGCAAATCTAACTCTCTGCAACAAACTTCCCATTCTTAGGCACGAAATCTCGAGTTTCGGTCCCTCCATAAATACCCCTCGACACAAGTAGCAAGTCGTCAAACCAGCTCATTCCACCACTCCTTGTGCCAATAGCAGCCAGCCAGTTTTTTTCAGCTCGTGCTCAGCCCACCGCCAGCATCATGGCTGCTCTCTCCTCCGCCACCGCGGCTTCCGCCGCTTTGCGTTCGTCGGCTCGAGCTCGGAGCTCGCGGCGAAGGTCCGCAACGTGGAGTGTCCATCGCGAAAAAGGGAAGTTGCGAAATTTGGCCTTCGAAGGTTTTTCTGCGTATACCTTGCGTACAAGTTGCGCGAAGAATCCAAAAACCAACGCACGAAAATCGCAACATTCGGTACACCAGTTGCTTTTCCGTCAACTTTTTCGGATCAGTCGGTGTCGCACGTTCGAGAGAGATTCCATGCGGTTTTGCAGAGTGACGAAGGCAGTGACGATGCATTTGGTGGTTCCATTGGAGCAAGCTTAAAGTTGTGCGTACTTTCAACATTATGTGTGCAGGTTTCACAGATGTGAACACTAACCTTTTTCCTTGCAGGAGTATAAATGTCGACAATCGCATTTTGCGTCATTTGCAGGGCGTACCTGCTACTGCAGGCTTATCGTCAACGATAAACGCACTTTGTATATTTTCCAATGCCAGTGCACTCCACTTTTATTAACCCCAAAGGTGAGCGCTAGAAACGCAATTTTGGTTTGTTTGACATGTTTCCATATCTGTTTTTCCAGTTTACATATGCTCTAACTTGTAGAGTTTTTCTTTCAGTGACGCAGGTCTAGAAACATAATACTGCAGTCTTAAGTTAGGCGTAGGTGGAAAATGAATGTGTACAGTTTGTGTGTGAGTTGTGATTACTAAATAGACGGTAATAATGAGAACAAATTCATTATGAGTTTGCTATTATCGGATGAATCACAATCGTCGCAGGTGTTTTTGTATTAATCGCCAGCCAATAATAATTTGTTACTGTACAACAAATCGCAGGATCCGATTGGTCCACATAGACGAATTACGTGCATTGATCGTCAACTTATTCGACGGTTGACGTTAGGGTACGCTGGACGCCACGTCAGCATTTCTGAGTTTCATCTAGAGTACGGCGTACGCCACGTGGCGTCGTCATGACACTTTCGCACAGGTTGCTCAAAGTTGACGGAAATGTTGCTTTACTGTATACTTGGTCAGTTGCCCCAATGTGTACAGTTAGTGATGGAAGAGTGACTGTGAAGTTGCTTTGTAAGTGACGGTCGGTATGCAGTTTTAAAACCTTAACTCAAAAATGCCGGGCAAAAAATATCGGGAAAGTTGCGGAAGAGTGTATTTTGAGTTGCTTTCCGAACTTCCCATTTTCGCGATGTCGCGTGACGATGCGCAAGGCCGCCGGCAAGGCTGACAACCTGAGCCAGTGGTACGGCCCGGATCGCAGCATGTTCCTCGGCCCGTTCAGTGCACCGCCCGCGTACCTGAAAGGCGAGTTTCCCGGCGACTACGGGTGGGACACGGCGGGGCTGTCGTCCGACCCCGAGACGTTCGCCAAGAATCGCGAGCTGGAGGTGATTCACTCGCGCTGGGCCATGCTCGGCACGCTTGGCATCGTGTTCCCCGAGCTTCTAGCGCGCAACGGTGTGCCGTTGCAAGCGGCGTTGTGGTTCAAGGCGGGTGCGCAGATCTTCTCCGAGGGCGGGCTCGACTACCTGGGCAACCCCGCGCTCATCCACGCGCAGAGCATCCTCGCCACGCTCGCCGTCCCACCAATCATGGTGATTGGTGGGCTTAGGTTTGGCAGTTAGTGGTTGGCGACGTTACCATCAAATTCGGAATTCTCGTTGGTGTGAAACATTCGCGCTGCTTGTGAATTGGAGGTTTCAATTCCAGGTTTGAGAAATTTCGATCACACAGGTAACATTTCGTCGGCTGTGCGATTGTTTCGCTAACCTGAAATCCCTTAACCGCACTGTAATGCTCTTTACCACGCGGGACACGAAGTGGGTGTGGACATTTGAGGGGCGCAAGCGACATTTCCGTAGCTTTTTTGTTGCGTCATACAGGTGACATTCTCGCAACTTTCACACTGGGTGTTTTTCCGAAGGTTTTCCGCAGCTTTTCCGCAAGAAAAGCTACCGTGTACATTTAGGGCCCACAAGGAATTGCGCGATGAGGTGCGTTCGTTTGTTCACGTCTAACCCACTCTCCTTGTGCTCGCCATGCGGGTCGCGCTGCAAAGGCTTCCAAAATCCCTTTTTCTCTGTTTATTATTACTTTCGCTCGCGTCCATGTGAAGAAAAGTTCGTCCATTTTCTGGCAGATCCCACTCCATGTTTCACCGCCAAAAACTTCAGCTCTCCGCAATTCCTGCATCGATTTCAGTTTCGCTAGCTCGTTCGACGGGATATTAGCTCGTTCGACGGGATCTCACTCTTGTACCATGGTAACCCGATTCCGCGTGCCACAAATGGTGTTGCTAGAAGCGGTGGAGAGCTACCGCGCGGGCGGTTTGGAGGGGTTCCAGGAGGTGGAGGATCCGATCTACCCGGGCGGCGCGTTCGACCCGCTGGGGCTGGCGGACGATCCGGATGCGGCGGCGGAGCTGAAGGTGAAGGAGCTCAAGAACGGCCGCCTCGCGCAGGTGTCGGCGCTGGGCTTCTTCGTGCAGCATCCCAAAAAAGTCCCCCGCAAATTTCTACCCCAAGGTCACATCAGGGTTACCCCGATTAGTGATACCCCAGTGTCGCCAGCAGTGATACCCCAATGTTACCCCCGATCGAAGTTCAGTTCGTTTTCACACTGAGGTGACCCCGAGCGGTGACCCTGATGTTACCCCCCGAGAAGTTGGGGCCCAATCCCGTGCGTTCCCGCTTCTCGCGGACCCAATTCGAACGCGAGCCGCATCTGCGCTGTTAAGTTCATCGCTTTAAGCCAAAATGTTGTCTACAACGCTTTTTTTTTTATTTTAAGGCTATATACTGAACGTACAAAACACTCATCCTATATATCCACAATTATTAATGCTAATTAATAATTAACGTGAACCTTTGTTTTGAGACTTGGCTATTAATTTCCAGTATATTGTGCTGCACTATTTAAGTCGCAGCCTGGTAATGTTGCAAACTTGCAATAGCTGTCAGAATCCCAACCACTAGACCATTGGGATAAAAGGGCTTGTTAAGTAGCGGATCAGTGCGCCCATATACCCCCCAGGCCAACATGCCTGTAACCCTTCCCTAGGATCAATCGAGGATCACCAGTGGACCTCTGACACCCCCCCGCACTGGGATGCCCGAAGTGCACACACTGGGATTCGAACCCGAGACCTTCGCTCTGATACCATGTCAGAATCCCAACCACTAGACCATTGGGATAAAAGAGCTTGTTAAGTAGCGGATCAGTGCGCCCATATACCCCCCAGGCCAACATGCCTGTAACCCTTCCCGAGGATCAATCGGGGATCACCAGTGGACCTCTGACAATAGCGGGTAGTTCTTGACCAAACAAAATGTCTGCAAGTACATTATAGCAGCATCACTTATCATGTTTCCAAAAGCAAATCACTAGAGCAGGAGACACAGAAAGTAGTATCGGTTAGCATGGAGCCGCAGGCTACACCTGAAATGCGGATGGCAGCCATGTGAGCTCACCTAATGCAGATAGCCGCCATTCAAAAAAGAAGAATAACAAACAGAACGAATGAGCCTGTGAAAGATCACAAAAATAGACCTTCAAGGGAAAGACAAGGCAAAAAGACAATCGGATGATGCAGCTGGCAAGGTTAGCTACTGCGTGTCATTTCGCCACAGCTGCTCCGCACGAGCCCGCCGAAGCTTATCCGCGCGATTCCGCCGCAGCTGCTGAGCGCGATTCCGCCAAGCTGATGTGCGCCAATCCGCCGCCGCTGGCTGCGCGCCAAAGAAACACACATGGCGCGAGGAAACAATTAGCGACTGAAATTGATACTTACGGAAAAAATGAAATAAGGAGCGCCACCTGAGCTCAACGGCTGGCCGCCGAATGTAACTGACGCGATGTAAAACAGTTGAATTACGGAAAACTTGCTTACCTCGTAAGCACATTCTAGACCTCCAAACACGGGCGCCTGGCACGACGATGATTGATGCCTGCAAAGAAACACACATGGCTTGAGGAAACAATTAGGAACTGAAGGGAAAAAGAAAGAAAGGAAAAAAAAACGTAGGGACATTCACGCCTCAAATCGCCAGGCTTATGACGCTGCTTTACAACGAAAAGAGTGACGAGAAACTAAGCTAGTTATTGGCCACCCATAGCCTCCAGCAATGACTAAGAAACTGCAGTAGCGGGAAACGCGGACATGGCGGCGAGTTAAGAGAAGTGTGAACTCGACAGGTTCACAAGACAGAATAATGAGAGAGATTGGCGAGAGATGTTGTGAAATACAGGGAGCGAATGTTTTGCTGAAGTGAGTTGGACAATTGTGATTGGTCTACAATATCCTGGCTGCCACCTAGCGAAACCCATCAATAGAAACTCAATATGGAGAGTCTCGATAGCCTTTCTAGTATTCGCTGAACATTGCTGCTGTTATGAATTCGTGTACAGTTCCTGGGGTCCGCTTCGGTTGCCGAAAGAGTGAGAACAAACCAATTGAACAGGCTCGAGACGAAGCTGTGGGGGTATCCCCTGGGTTACAACGAACTGAGCGCAACACTGATTGGTCCGCAAAATTCACCCGAAATCCAAATTGCGAGAGTTACCGTTTCGTAGCCGTCGCGCGAGCGCAGAGGTAACCTGGGGGCGTCTTTAGGGAAACCTACGGGTTACCCCGCGAGGGTGACCTGGGGGTATCCCACGCTTTCCAGCCGATTTCGGCCTCTTGATTTTTGGGATGAGGCCAAAGTGACGGGCAAGGGGCCCCTCGAGAACCGCGCGGACCACCTCGCCGACCCCACCGCCAACAACGCGTGGGCGTACGCACAGGACTTTGTACATGGCGCGTAGAGGAGTCGAGAGAGGCTTCATGAGCTCGGAGGAGTTTCGAGGGCGTTGGGAGGGAGTTTGAGGAACTCGGATTCGTGGTTGCGAGGATGTTTGGGATGTGGTGAATTTGCACATATCTGTACATCCAGGATCTGTGTAATTATGATGTTTTCTAGGTTTGAGTCGTCTGACCTGAACCCTTTTAGCTCATTCTGAGATATCACACAACAATACCCCAACAACTGGAGGTGAATGTGTCACTTCTTATGTAGCTGTGAACCACAACCCCGTTCCATACCTTCCTAGGGCATGGGTTTCACCATTTTGAGATGGAAATTCTGCAGTTCAAGGTAGCTAGCTAGCAGTAACGATCACATCAGAATTTCGTGACGTTTCAAATGTTTATCATGAGAGAATTACACAAGAGGACAGTTCCAGAAGCAGGCATGCCAGCTCATGCATTCATTCACTGATTCTACATCCTCCGTCTCCACCCCCCCACACACCCTGTGATCCCACAATGCTCCAGCCCTAGTACCCCCCTCATCCGCATCACATCCTTGCTCAAGGTCGACCGCGGGGTGCCCCAGAACAAGTTTGCAAGGACACATATCATCTTCTCCACCGTGCTTCTCGTGCTGCTGTGTGCTATGATGCAGGCTGCCTGCAGCTCTGCTGCTCCTGGCGTAGCTGATTTGACACGATGGGACTGGATGACGGATATTTCGCCCCATGCTAGGGATTTCATCATCTGGCGAACCAGCGGAGCTCCTCAACACAGGAGGGAGGGGCGAGAAGGTGGAAGAAGGGATGAAATCGCTGCCCCAGAACACGTGGGCATGCACGCACAACATCTTCTCCACCGTGCCCCTCTTGCTGCCGTGTGCTATGATCCCCGCTGCCTGCAGCTCTGCTGCTCCTGGCGCAGCTGATTTGACTCGAGGGTACTGAACAATAGCTGCCTCGCCCCAAACTAGTGATTTCAGCATCTGGTAGAACCAGCGGAGCTCCTGAGGAAAGCAGGGGAAGGGTTCCAGGAGACAGGGGACACGTGGGAGGCAGGCAGGGGACACATGGGAGGCAGGCACGCGGGCGAAGAGGAAATATTGGTTTCTGTAGAGAGAATGCGGTAACATGCGGTTGGGGGTGGTCGACGGTCAACTGATTGGGAGGTATTGGGCAACGTGAATGTCAAGATGGTTTTTGCTTCCAACTGATTGGTCATTTCTAAGTCAACCATTAGGGGTTAACCTAGTTGCCCTTTGCCCCTAACCCCTCCTCCCCTACTGCCGGAGGCCACCGAAATTGCCGATCCGCGCAAATCGGCGCTCGAAATCTGCCATACCGCGTGAACCTGTGGCCGAAATCGTCGATTCGTCACACTACCGACCCGCCCTCGGGTCACAGGTGACCCGGCCTTATAAGCTCAGGTCGAGTCAGCCACCCAAAAATCTTGACCCGAGGTCGGGTTGACCCGACCCGACCAGCACCCGCCCTGGGTCGGCTTGGGTTGGGACGGGCTGGGACGGGTTGACCCATTGCTCATGCCTAACCCGGTCTGACCTGACCCGTTCCGTCCCGAACCAACCCAACTAGATCCGGACCTATAACTATGCCGCAAGCCGACTGAAGTGGACCTCACCAAGAGATACCACAGCGGCCTCTTCGAGGTGCGTCAGGGGAATCAGCCAACCCCTGATCTGACCTGAACCGATCCACCTGTGACTGTGACGATTCCCCCTGTGGCGAACCTTCTCGAGCTGCTGCAGGGGAATGAACGAGCATGCCTTGGCCTGGCGTGATGGGTCCTCGTACTGGAGGGGCGTGGAGTGCGGTATGTGTGGAATGTGGAGTGCGGTATGTGTGGAATGTGGAGTGCGGTATGTGTGGAATGTGGAGTGCGGTATGTGTGGAATGTGGAGTGTGGAGTGTGTGGAATGTGTAGTGTGGATGCGTGAGGTGTGGGGTGTGGAGTGCGGAGTGCGGGGTGTGGTGTGTGGAGTGTGGAGTGTGGAGTGTGGAGTGCGGAGTGTGTGGGGTGTGGAGTGCGGAGGGGACGAGAGATAGATGAGGAACAAATTTAGCCGACTCAAGAGTCACCTGCGGCATGGGAATGAGAGAGCGTGCCTTGGCCTGACTCGTACTGGTGAAATGCGGAGTGTGGTGGATGGGAGGGGGACGAAGGTACGCAAGGAGGGCAAAGGAGAAGAGGTAAATGAGGGGGTCGACTCGTGCATCGGAATGAGTGAGGTGTTTACTAACACTGAAGTAAGTGGTAAGAGTTTGATGGCATCACAGCCCAAGATATCGTGCTGCACTACACCACATCGCACAGCACCGCATTCACCTGCATGTTCCCCACCATCCACCCCTTGCTCGTCTCGCACACAATACCAGGAGCTTCAACGCATGGCCCCGCACCACACTCCACTCACCTGCATGATATTGCTCCAGGTCACAGCAGTGGCCCCTCCAATGCCGACTGACCATGGGCCCCACCACCCATCCCCTTGCTGCTGCTGTGGCGCCTGTCGCCCCCTCAGCTAATGCAGCATGGCATGCGCATCTGACTGCTGCAGCTGCTGTGCCAGTGCTGCATCCTCCTCCCCCTGCTCTCATGCCAAAACATACAATGGTCCGTGACAAGATGATGCAACATGACGTGACGTGACGTGTCATGCCCTGACATACCATGCCATGATATGACCATATCATGCACCATGACATGGCCTGCCATGTCCATATCATGCGTTATGCCACGTGATGTGATAAACGGGCAAAGAAACGTGCAAAATAAAGAGGGGGGGCAGAAGGGCCAGTGGACGGCATAGCCCAAATGATGCAGCAACGTGAACTGGCGGTATCGGCTGGCTGGTGCGCACAAGGTGTTGAACAATACGTGTGTGTGTTTCAGACGTTAAGTGAACAACTTTTGAGGCGCCTAGAAATTGGTTGGTGTTCACAAGGGTCTGAAGAGGGCATGTGTATGTTCAGATGCACAGTGATCGCACAAGCATGCATTGACTGGAACAAGCCCTGACATCAATGATCATTGCATGGCACATAGGTGCAATTAAGAGCTTGCAGGAACGCTCATCGATACATACATATTCCTCATCCATACATGCCACATACCTGCAGTCAGCGTGCAAGTTCCTCATCTCCCGCTCTGCTGGTTTCCCCCCCACAACCCTTTTCCACCTCCGCCCCGTTCTTACCCTCTGCCACCTTCTCCCCCTTCGCCCCTGTTTCCCCCTATCGTGCAGCACGAGAAATGCGCCACTAGTTGGTTAACGAGAGGCCAAATCGGCATGCGGCGAGGAGAGAGAAAGGTGCAAGAGCAAATAGGAAGGTGGTAAGAAGGAATCAAAATGTCTATGAGGTGGCTCATGAACAAACTGGCGGTGGTGAGGAGAGTTCAGGGTTGAGCTGGAGAAAAGGGGAAGCTGCAAAGTCGCCAAGGGAAGACTAGCAAGTGGCTGGTAAGATGGAGTGGCCTGAAACACAAACAGTATGCGGCAAGGAAAGCTCAAGGGACTGTCCAGAGGAAAGGGATAGGTGCAAGGGCGTCAGGAGGACGGCATCAAGAAGGGAAAAATATGATCTGTAAATGCGCCTCCAAGATGGAATGGGCATGTTGCAATGAGAGGTCCATGCACAGGCCAGATGAGAGGAAGAGGTGCAAGGGCATCCGGGGAAAGGAAGATGAATCTGTCCTTGATATATTTTTCAAGTCGACTCACAAATCACCTTCAAACACAAACCGGCATTCAGCGAGTGGATGTTAAGGAATAGGCCGGAGGTGAGGGTTAGCTTTAAGGGCACTGGCAGAAAGGCATTACGCCGGTAAGAAGGGACAGAGGTGACCACTGGTTTCACCAGCCTAAGGTCGACCCCCATCCCATCAAATGGAGAGTGAGGAACTTCTTGAGAACTCGCAACAATCCTCACTAGAGGTGACCACTGGTTTCACCAGCCTGGAGCTCTCAAATGGAGAGTGACAAACTTGCGGAATGGGGGAAGAGGGAGTTACGGTGCGGCTATGCATGTCTGTGTCACTTCGTCATATCATGTAAAACACAATCAGGACCACCACTGAAACAGAAGTGAGTCGTTCAGATTCATTCATTTAATGAGTTTGATGGGATCCCCCAATTCAGTCCAAAAGGGCATTGATGCTGGGCGTACCGATTGGGCGAGAACCTGTGAGCGAGAAGATCCGAATCTTCAACACCTGTGTGACAATGGACGGCCAGGGATGGACGGCCAGAGATGGACGGCCAGGGATGAATTGGGAGGAAGGGGGGAGTCGACGAGGAGAGGGGATGAGTTTAACACGATTCACAATATGAAGGGTAGGTCAGCACATGCGCCAGGTAGAGTGGAAAAGAGGATAAGCTGGCTGAGCAAATTGAGTTATCACAAAATCAGAGGGAGTGATGCCAAGGTAGTTGGTTGAGATGCATGAGAACAGGTGGAGAATACGCCTCTCCTCACAGGTACACTGTACAACTATCGCATAACTTTCGCTACAGACGACTTCTAAGGTGTTTCAAAAGGGTTTTGCATACCCCGAGCTGAGACAAAAATGATTGCTCTCTCTCTCGTCCCATCCCTCAGGAAGAGGAAGAGTTTCAGCCCTTTGTTGCCTCTGTCCCTGTACGACCCACCTGTCCCCCCTGTGATAAGTCCAAGGCACTTGCACTCTGTCCCCATCATGCCCATCCCATCCTCGCATTCTTATCCCCCCATGTCTGATTATCTCTCATCCCTCTTCTGTCATCTCTACGCCGCCTGTCCCCACTTCCCCCGTCCCTACTATACCCGTCCCTACTATCCCCGTCCCTAATATCCCCGTCCCTATTCTTCCCGTACCTACTCTCCCCGACCCTATTACCTTATCCTCGTCCCTCTTCTCTTCTCCCCGTCCCTACTCTCCCCGTCCCTACTCTCCCCGTCCCTATCCCCCCCGTACCTACTCTCCCCGTCCCTCCCTACTCTCCCCGTCCCTACTCTCCCCGTCCCTACTCTCCCCGACCCTAGTCTTTCCGACCCTACTCTCCCCAACCCCACTCTCCCCGACCCTACTCTCCCCGTCCTTCCTCTCCCGTCCTTCCTCTCCCCGTCCCGCCTCTCCCCGTCCCTACACTCGCCGTCCCTACTCTCCCCGTCCCTCCTCTCCCCGTCCCTACACTCGCCGTCCCTACTCTCCCCGTCCCTACTCTCCCCGTCCCCACACTCCCCGACCCTACTCTCCCCGTCCCTACTCTACCCGACCCTACTCTTTCCGACCCTACTCTCCCCAACCCTACTCTCCCCGACCCTACTCTCCCCGTCCTTCCTCTCCCGTCCTTCCTCTCCCCGACCCTACTCCCCCCGTCCCTACTCTCCCCGTCCCTACTCTAACCGTCCTTACTCTCCCCGTACCTACTCTCCCCGTCCCTACCTTCCCCGTCCCTACTTTCCCCGTCCCTACTTTCCCCGTCCCTACTTTCCCATCTCCTTCACAGGTACAGGTGCGCACGATTGGTGGGAATGGCGGGCAGCGGCGCGACGATACGCGCGCTCGGCGGACGGTGCTGGTGCGAACGGCGATATCCATTTCACACCCCTACTGCCACGCTCTCGCGACTCCCACGGACGGGTGCGAGGTGACTCAGACTGGCGCACTCGCTGTGCGAAGGCGTGTTCGGCGGACGGCTGGTGCAAATGGCGAGCTGCGCAGCACTACTGGCGGCCTGCGCGAGCGTGTCATGGCGGGGAGACGACCAGCGGCGCGACGATACGCGAAGTGGCGAAGCAGGCAGGGGTGGTTGGTAGGAGCGGGGGTGATCGGGTGTGTGCGCGCGGGGATGGCCCACCCACCTCGCGTCACGCCGTGCCACCGTCCCACGCATCCCTCCACTGGTGGCGGGGGCCGCCAACGGTGCTCGCGCGTGAATGCGCGCATCTCGACCACCTCGTCCTCCGCGCACCAACCATACTTTCCAACGAAACTGGCCCTAGTCTATCGTAACTACAAAGTCGTCCAACGCGCACCAGCCGCTTCAGTGCCCTAGTCTATCGAAACTAAAAACCCGTCCAACGCGCACCAGCCGCTTCAGTGCCCTAGTCTATCATAACCCTAACCTAGTCGCTGGTTCTTCATGTCGTTTGCGATCTGCTGCTGTGCTCGCCATGAGCGTGAATATCGCTTTACTCGCTAATGAGCGGGCTTACGACTGCAGAAATTTGTTTTTTTTAAGCAGCTGAGTGCGAGGAATCAATGAGTATCGAGAGTAAATGCAAAGAGAGTGACAATACAATGAAAATGAGGGGATGATATAGGGGACAACCTAGCTAGGCGAAGCCCTCGGGCTCGAGGCTCGGTAGTGTGGCGAATGGTGCGGGGGCAACCTGGTTTGGTTTGGGGCGAGTTTGAATGCCAAACCAGCTGACGCGATATTGTCGGAACTGTGTCCGCTGAAGTGCGACTGAAATAATACATTAAATTCCTTCAAAATTCGGGGTGCAGTAATAGTTACCATTTCCAATTGCATATGTTTACTTGGTAGACTACACAATATCATTGTGCTACAGAAGTGCACAATGAATATATAATAAAAGAAAACCCTTTGATATTCTCACACCATAATATGCAATCGTCACAATTCGTGAAGTGTATCAACCCTAACTCTGAAGCAATTTCCAATCGCAAAATTTTACTCAAGAAATTACATGGCGATGGGATCAGGGCCCAAAATATCAGGGTAAAACGCCCTGATTACCCTGGGGGCCTGTCCCCTTTTCAGGATTACCCTGCCGGAATCAGGATTGCGCTTTAGTTACCCTTCTCATAAAAGTGCATGTTTTTTTTTACCCTGATAGGTTTTTAGCTTACCCTGGCGGAATCAGGGTTGGGTGTACACTACCCTGTTACCGAATCTGTTCTAACGCGAACCTGACTATACTCCGCGTGGTGACAAAACGTACAACACCCCCACAAACACCTGTTGTCGCTCGTGCCCACGCGCACGGAAACTTGCTGCGTACTTGGCATCACGCCAAGAATCCGCATTGGTTGTTTCTGCCGCAGGGCTGCCACCAATGATTGCACCTCGTCAGTTTTCGCCACGCCCACCGCCATCACAGCAGAATTGGCTGTCAAGGACAGCTTCAAGCTGTCCTTGACATCCAGTTGCAGCCTCAGTGCTGCCTTGCTGGCCATCACAGGGCCCGCCCCGTGGAACATACTGCCCTGTCGAGGCTGCCAGAGGCGCCTTCTCTACGAGGGGGTCTCTCGCTTGGCCCTCGTTGTGCATGCATGTGGTGCGTGCGTGGATTTCAAGGACTGTATAAGGAAAACTTGAATATGTCACCAAAAGTAAGGAAACTCTCAAAATAGACACAAAACCAGGATTAGCCTAAAACTACCCTGCTCGAATCAGGCTAGTGGCAGAGTTACCCTGCTGAAAACAGGGTATGAGATTTTTTACCCTAGGGGTCTGCCTATGGAGGGGCTGTTACCCTGATTCGTAAGGGTAGGCCTAAACCAATTTTGGGCCCTGGATGGGATGATGAGCTCACGGGGTGATGGTGTGAAGGGATGATGGTGTGATGGGATAATGATGTGATGGGGCAATGAGATCATGGTGTCTTGGGGTGATGAGGAGACAAATTCAAGGGAGTGCCTTTTCCACATCAGAAGGGTGGTCACAAGAGACAATGAAGTGCCCATGGCAGTGGTGGCAAGCCATGCGACAAATGTGAGCACATGCCATACAAGGCACTACTAACCTCATTGTGGAATTGAGTGATCGCTGACGGGTGTGTGAGCGCATAGATGGCAGGGGATGGATGCTGCTGGTTGGACTATGCACACCTGGTGATTGGGGGGAAGGATGGCCAGAGAGAGGTCAAGAGAGAAAGAGAGCGCAGTAAGGTGGATGCAGGATAGGCCAATTGGACGCTATTGGCTGGACTGTGTTCATGTGGACAGGTGGGGATAGCAATGGGGAAGGGGATAGGGGAGGGGAAGGTGAAGTGGATGGGAAGTGTAAGGTGAAGGGGATGAGGGGACAACGATGAAGAGTGACTAGCACTGCCACAATGCATTCCGCCTCAGTGCAGTCAGCCTCTTGCCGATCAACCTTAACACAGCTGATCAACTGCAGGTGACCTCAGCTGAGCGAAATCCGAGAGTGATCTGAGAGTGACCTGAGAGTGACCTGAAAGTCACCTGAGAATGACCTGAGAATGACCTGAGAGTGACCTTTCCAGCCTCCTTCTCCCGCTCTTCTTCTTCGAGGGAGAACGCGGCCACGGGTCACCCAGCAGCCCAGCCCAGCCCGCTTGGGACTCACAAGTACCTATCAAGCAGCCCAATGCCCCTCACTCAAACACACCCCTCAAAACACACCCTCCTCTCCTCCTTCACCCTCCTTCTCCCTCTGCTCGTCCATGCAAACAAGCCGTCTCGGGGCACCCAGCAGCCCGCCCAGCTTTGCCTGCTACTGACCAGGTGACCCATAACCACAATACAATTTTCACGCACCTCCTCTTCCCCCTTTTCGTTTTTCAAGAGAGAGACGGCCACGGGGCACTCAGCAGTCCGCCCATCTTCCGCGCACCTCCGCCATGTCAGCAGCCTCTACCGTGCTCCTGTGCGGGTGAGCAGTGCGCCCGTGCTGTAGGGATGGGAGTCCATGGGGCAGAATCAATGGAGGAGGTGCAGAGCTGGAGGGGGCGGGGAAGGGGGGGGAAGGGGATAGGGAAGAAAGGGTAAGAAGCACAGTGGCTTAAGGGACATGGGAGACGGTACTGTAAGGGTGGGAGTCTGTCGGTCAGGAGTCCGTGCACGAGAAGGAGGTGGGGATCTGGTGGAGAGAGGTGGAGGGGGAAGGAAAGAGGGTAATGGGTGCTCAAGGGAAGATGAGCCTGGCGAGGAGCGCACAATGCACAGGTTCCCCCTCGCGGCGAAATCTAGGCGCCATCTCGGACTTGGGAAGAGTGCGCAGCCTCAGCAGCCCACAGGTTCCCCGTGAACAGTGCGCCCGTGTAGCAGGGGCGGGAGTTAACGGGACAGGAACCGGCGCAGGAGTAGCAGATGCTGGTGAAAAGATGGGGGATGGGTTGGGGGAAGGATGAAGGGAGAGGAAGCGGCAGTGCCTGGGTGAGAGCAGTGAGGCGCCACCGTAAGGGCGAAACAGTGGGGCAGACGTGAGTATGGCGGGCCTGGGTGGGGAAGACGGAGGAACGGAGACAGTATGGGGAGGTAAAGGGACAGCGCCTGGGTGAGCAGTGTGGCCAACGTCTGCCCCACACCCAATGTGGGGCAGATGTTGGCGTTGGTGTGAGTCTGTGAGTTCGTGTAGGAGACGACGCAGGTGCGAGGTGGGAGCGGAAGGGGGAGAAGGCGGGAAAGTGGTTAAGGAGCATGGGGAAGGGAAGGGGAAGGGGTACTGCCTTCTGCAGTAGGGGTAGGGGCAGATGCCAGGGGGTCAGAAATTCCAATGGGAGGCTGGATGTATGGTATAGGAGAAGGGTACGAAAGGAGGCTGCGTAAGAAGAGGGAATCATGAATTGGGAGGGAGGGGGGGGATGTTGGAGGGAAAGGGGAAATGACTCTCCCCTTGACAACAGTATCCAACTAATCATCTGCCCCTTTATCACCATAGCCTCTGAGTGTGACATGATGACTCTTACACGCATCTGCTCTGCCCCACCCCACAGCTACTCACCTTGGCAATATCCATCCACCTTGCCAACTCCCTTCACCGCCCCTTCACGGCCACGTGGCACCCAGCATCGCCTGCGGCCTCTCCCGCGCGTCTGCCACGTCAGCGGCGCGCAGGATGCCTGTGAACAGTGCGGCCGAATCCGTGGGCCACAAGTCGGTGTAGGAGAATCGGGTGCGGAGCTGTGGGGAAGGGAGTGGGGAGGGGATGGGGGGTGGGTGGGGAGTGGGGGAGGAGGAGAAAGGAAGGGAAGGGTAAAGGTGTGAAACAGTGCTGTAAGGGCGAGAGCTGAGAGAAGTGTTGGGAGTCAGAGCAGTGGGTACGAGATGGTGCCTTGGCAAGCAGTGTGCCTGTGCGACTGGTTGTGGAACGCAAGCGAAAGCAATTATTGAGGCACCTCAAAAAGCAAGCGAGAGCAGAGCAGAGCAAGAGGGGCCAGGGATGAGGGGAGGGGTGAGAAGAAAGAATGGGGAATGGCTGGAAACGAAGGAGTTGGAAGGAGGGGCAGGGAACAGGCAGGATAATTTCGCGGATCCTCTGAAAATCCGGCAGAATTATCCTCTGTTGCCTTCGCCAGCCCCATCAGAAGCTCTCCAGTCCCTGCGGTCATTCTGCACCCCCCTGTGCACTGCCCTTTCACAAGTCCCTCACCGACTCTCACACACACCTACACCCCACAGCAACTCCTCACCGACTCGCACACACGTACCCACCCCCAACCGACGACGATCACACACAGTCACACCCCTCACCGTGGCGATATCCAATCCGGTGTGTCAACGGCACACCGCCTCCCTGGTAACGCCAATCGCGTCCCCCATGGCCTCCGCCAACCCCATCAGCAGCCCTCCTCCCCGCCCTCCCCGCAGCCGCCACTGCCGCTGCCAACGCCGCTGGCGGGCATCGAGCTTGTTGTTGCCTGCCAGCCCCAGCAACAGCCCCACTTCACCACCCCCTCGCCCTCCTTCCCGCTCTTCCAGCTCCCCCCATTGCCACTGCCAACGCCGCTTACGCTGCTTGGCGGTTTCCCCGCCCCGTTTCGCCGCTGCCACACAGCACGTGGCTTCCGGCGTTCTTCTCCCTCTCCTTCTCTGTATCCCTATTCATGTACCGATTCATCCCTGTCCTTCTCTTCTTGTGCCTGCACAGGAGAGCTAATCTTGCCAGCATCGCGTGACTGATTGAATTCCGCAAAACCTGCGGAACAGCCACTAGTAGCAGAGCACTCAAAGTTACCTCTTTCACTCCGACGATCCGCCTCCACCTTTCGAGACAACCCATCCTCCGCCTTCACTCACACGATCCGCCTTCGCTCACACGATCCGCCTTCGCTCACACGATCC